GAGTCAGTCTTTCTGTGTCTAGGTCAGTAGGAATGTAGCTTGAATCTGTTTGCTAGAAGATCAACAAAACTCTGAGTTTGAGGTCTGTCGCTTGAGGACAAGCAACACTTCAAGTTTGGGGGTATCTGATGACATATAAATATATACACTTTTTGCAAGCATTTCTTACTCATTTCTACTTATAATTTAGTGTCAATTAGTTAGGATTAGTTTACTTTTGGGGTGATTTTACATTTTAGGTATCTCAGAAGCCTAATGTGGAAAATTAGCATAAAAGAGGGCCAAATTGCACAAAAAAGGCATCAGAAAGGACTGGAATGTAAGCTGCTGGAAATTGTGCTATTGGAAGGTCGATCAAAGCTGGAGCAAGTGGAGAAATCCTTGCTAAGGAAGGAAGAATGACAGCAGATGATCACAACTTGGAAGAATCTGCAGCAGCACACTCAATTGAGAGGAAAAAGGGCAGATGTCCTGCTGCCAGATTGTTGCAGTGGTAGCTGTTGCTGCTGTAAATCAAAGAGGAGCCACGAGCTAAAATCTTGGTGCCGAAAGAAGGAAGTTGCTTTGCCATCACTGCAAGTTGTTGTTGTTGCAAGTGGAAGAAGAGAAAGAGGGAGAATATGTGATAAGCAGCTGCTGCTACTCTTCTACTCACCAACTGATGGTGCTGCTGAGTTGATGGATCGGTTGTTGCAGAAGGATGAGCAATGGCATAGCAAGTGACCCAAGAAACAAGGAAGAAAAGGGCAGAAGATTCAGGCTGAATTGGGGGCTGAAGACATAATGATGGAAGAAAGCATGCTATCGATGCTGCTGCTTACTGACTACTGTAATTTGAGCTATGGGGAATAAAAAATGAAGAAATAGAGATTTGCGGCTACAAATGGTGAGAAGCACCGGAGAAAAAGGCTAAGGAGAAGCAACAATGATGAGTAGAAGATGGCGGATTGTGGCTGAAGAATGAAGGAGATAACCAGAAAAGGCAGCAACTTGCCAATTGGGCAAGTTGCTGAATAAACAATGTCCTTTGGCTGCTGCAATTTGCTGTCTCCTCTGCCCGACTGCAAAGAAGGCCAGAACTCCACCAATCCAAGTCTCTCCAAAATTTCTATAAATAGCCAGCCAATATCAGTAGAAAAAACAACATATTGGGTAGTTAGATTTAGTCTAAAAGACAGTAGTTAGGTAGTTAGTTAAAAGGTTAGAAATAGGGTGGTAGCAGGAACAAGGAGGTAGACTGTCACTTTGTCAAGTGGCAAATGCCACTCGCCATACTGAGCAGACAGAAATTGTCCATGCTACCATCTTCCCTTTCTTTCTTCTAACCTTTTGATCTAGATTCATGTCTTATCTTTTGTACTATGTTGCTCTCATTTTTAACTCAATAAACATGAGTAGCCAACTCAGTTAATGGTTCAATCCCTACTATCTTTATGTGAAAGTTTTGATTCAATTCCCTTGATGAGGTGTTGTGCCTAGATAAGCGATTTAATTAACCTTTTAATTAACTTGGCCACTTAGTTAAATGTTATTGCATGGTTATGAAGATCTAGAAGGGGGAGCATAACCTTAGAACTGCTTAATCTAGTCTATGACAATAGAGGAAATCTACCCTGCGGTTCCAGACATCAACGGAAGTTAGGTGAATGGCATAGGTGATCAAAGAGGGCTTAAGAACTCAATGGCTTAGATTAATGAAATACTCTGACTGGAAGGTAGGTGATTTAGATGATCTAGGAATCTTTATTCTGTCGGGAAGGAATTATAAAGAATCTAAGTGCCTAATCGAACAACTAATCATACACTACAGGAATATTGAATCAAAACTGGATCATAAAGGTAGGAAGGTGATTGACCCTTTTGCCTATTCACTCTATCAAGTGACTATTCTCACTCTCCCAAGTGACAATCTGTTCAACTCATTTTCTTTCTTTTCTGCACTTTAATCAGATTTTGAGTGGTTGACTGCCGTCTCTGTGGAAAGACCCTGCTTACCATAGGTTTATAAGGTCTTGTTTGTCCAACACTTGTTTTACCTTTTTTTTCTCATTTTACCTCTTAAAAAACCTCTCAAACACAATCTCAATACTATCCAAATAACGTTTTAATTTACCTTTGAAAAAATATTCTAAAAATTATTTTTATACAATTTTCATCCACCACCACCACCCGCCACTGCCGACCGCCCCTTGATGCCGCCAGCTGGCGGCGGTCTGGCTGCCGGTAGCGGTTTGGCGGCCGACGGCGGTGGTGGGCGGTCCGCCGACCGCCCCTTGATGCCGCCAGCTGGCGGCGGTCTGGTTGCCGGTAGCGGTTTGGCGGCCGACGGCGGTGGTGGGCGGTCCGGTGGCGGCATTGGTGGTGGAGGTGGTCCGGTGGTGGGCTAAAAATATTAATATTTTATTTAAAATATTACCCAAACAACTTTTTAAAATTTTATCTCAAACCACATCTCAAATCCAAAACAAAAACTAAAATAAAATGTTGGCCAAACAAGCCCTAAACATTTCTTTCGGGAAAGTGGTTCAACACCAAACGAAATCACCAGTATTTCATGCAATAAGTAAAAAGTAGTGCAATAAATAATATCGTGGAGACGTGGACCACTAATACGTAATGCGACAAATAAAGTTTACGGAAATTATACGATGCGCATTAAGTGCAGCTTGGTGTCTGCACTTAATGGCGCGTGATATTCAAGTGCTATTGCACAGCGTAAAGCTTGCATCTGCGCGCCCCATGCGCAGAATTTTTTTTTTTTTTGTTTATTGAGTTTTTGGGTTAAATCATTTTATTTCTTAATCCGTAAAACATTAGACCAAATGTCTTATATCACTTTGATAGTACTCAATCAGATCTATCCAACGAGATCCATCGTGAATATGTCTTTCAAAAGTTTAAAAAATTTATACAATTGGCTTGGTCATCCTAAAAGACACTGTGGTCTTCTTTGTTGTTCGGTCTTCGGCATTTGGTCCTCACACACGCTTGCTCGTCATTCTGGTCTTTGGTCTTCCGTTTTTGGCCTTTGGCCTTTGGTCTTTGCTCCTCACACGCCCTCGCTTTTCACTTTGGTCTTTGGTCTTTGGTCTTTAGTCTTTGGTCTTTGATCTTTGCTCTTTGGTCTTCGGTTTTTGGTCTTTGCCTTTGGTCTTTGGTCTTTGCTCCTCACACACTCTCGCTTTTAATTCTGGTCTTTGGTCTTTGGTGTTTGCTTTTTGGTCTTTGGTTTTTGGTCTTCGTCCTCCGGGCTTTCATCTTTGCTCCTCGCACAATGCTCGTTCTTTCACTCTGGTCTTTGCTCTTTGGTCTTTGGCCTTTCCTCCTTGGTATTTGATTTTTAGTCTTTGGCCTATGGTCTTATTCCCTCCAAACCCTGAACACACTAATATTTCTTGTTTACGGCACAAACTAGGCCTTAACTGACATGTAAATGCTTATACCCCCTAAACTCTAAACACACTAATATTTTCTTTTTCGGTTTAAATTATTTTAAATGAATTAGGCAAAAGAAGACCCTACCCTAATTGGTTTTAAAAAAATTTATAAATTTAATCGTGAAACAAAAATTAGTGTCTTTAGATTTTAGGGGGGTTTAACCATTTTCATGTCGGTTAGGGTCTAGTTATTTAGAGTTTAGGGTTTAGGGGGGTTTAAGCATTTCCGTGTCAGTTAGGGCCTAGTTTGTGCCGTAACACGATTAACCTTATAAATTTTTTAAACCAATTAAGCTAGGGTCTCATGTAGCCTAATTGGTTTTAAAAAATTTAAACCAAAAAAAAAAATAGTATGTTTAGGGTTTAAGGGGGTTTGACCATTTCCGTGTCAATTAGGGTCTAGTTGTTTAGGGTTTAGGGTTTAGAGGGGTTTAAGCATTTCCGTGTCGGTTAGGGTCTAGTTCGAGCTGTAACACGATTAACCTTATAAATTTTTTTAAACCAATTAGGCTAGCCTTAAAAAAAAATAGTGTGTTTAGGGTTTATGGGGGTTTAAGGGTTTAGGGGAGGTTAAGCATTTCCATGTCGGTTAGGGCCTAGTTTGTGCCGTAACATGATTAACCTTATAAATTTTTTTAAACCAATTAACTTCGGTCTTTGGTCTTTGGTCTCTGGTCTTTGGCTTTCGGTCTTTGGTCTTTACTCTTTGATCTTTTGTCTTTGGTCTTTGGTCGTTGGCCTTCGGTCTTTGGTATTTGGTCTTTGGTTTTTGGTCTTTGGTCTTTGCTTGTCACACAATGCTCGCTCTTTCACTCTGGTGTTTGTATTTCGGTTTTTGCTCTTTGGTCTTCGATTTATTGGTCTTTGATCTTTGGTCTTTGGTCGGTGTTCCTCACACACGCTCGCTCTTTACTCTGATCTTTGGCCTTTGCTCTTTGGTATTCAATTTTGGTCTTTGGCCTTTGAACTTGGTCTTTTCTGTAGGTCTTGGTCCTAAAAGACACAAGTAAGACCAGAATGTCTTTTAGTAAGACCAAGGCTACTGCATATATTTTTTTAAGTCTCGGAAAACATATTCATGATAAATCTTGTTGGATAGAGCTCATCGAATACTATCAAAATGATATAAGACATTTGATTTAATTCTTTATGGATTGAAAGAAAAAATCATTTGAATATTAAAAAAAAATTTGAAACCCATTTCCTAAAAATAAGGAAAGAGTGGTGCGTGTGTTTCACTTTTTTAAAACATCAAATTTTTTGGGCAAAAAAATGGCAATTGGAGGCGCGTGTCTTCATGTTATCTACCTATAGTTAATGCTTATAGTATAATAACTCAAATGATTCCCGGAATGTGACCATTTCAGTGACGTGTGGTGGGAGACGAGATTACTGTTATCGAGTACGTATTGCGTTATATATAACATCGGCAAAACGGTGATTGAAAACATTGTTGATATATCCTAAGATTTCAAGATTCAATCAAAACGCAAAATTCAATGGAGAGTTTAAAAAGTACCAAATGTTGAAGGAGGAGAAAAAGGTCGGGATTTCTCTTACGCGATGCAGCTCGCCACCTCGGCTTTATTTCCTATGGTTTTGTACACCGCCATCAAGTTGAATTTGCTTGAAATCATAGCAAAATCTGGCCCTAGATTGACGCTTTCGCCGTCCCAGATCGTAGCCCAGTTGGCTATGAAAAAACCAGCTGCAGCTTCCATGGTGGACCGGATGCTTCGTTTGCTGAGTGCCCATTCCGTGCTCACTTGCGACGAGGTTGCCGGTTCAGGGGAGGATGGTTCTGTGCATGAAAGGGTTTACGGGTTGACTCCGGTTGGAAAATATTTTGTTGAGAATGAGGAGGGCTTCTCGGTTTCTCATTTGGTTGAATTGCACAATGACAAAGTTTTCATGGAAAGTTGGTAAGTGTTTGTTGCACTTTTAGTACTTTAAGATTGATTCATTTTAGTGAATTTGTTAATTCAATTAAAATTATGAATATGTATGTAATGATTGTGTTTTCTTATCTTTGATTAATTTAGGTATGAACTCGGGGATGCGGTTATTGAAGGGGGGATTCCGTTCAACCGAGTCCATGGGACTCATGCATTTGATTACCCTAGCCGGGATCCAAGATTCAATGAGCTGTTCAACAAGGGAATGGTTGGTCCAACATGCATCATCCTGGAAAAGATTTTGAGTGAATCCAAAGGTTTTGAATAGCTTTGCACCTTGGTTGATGTAGGTGGTGGTCTTGGAATAACACTTCACAAGATCATATCAAAATACCCCTTAATTAAGGGCATCAATTTTGATCTACCTCATGTTGTCCGCGCCGCACCATCTTATCCTGGTAAAAGTCGCATTTGTATCACAAATAACAAATTTTGTTTTGTTTTTTTTTTTTTGAAGCGGATAACAAATTTTGTTATTTTTCCTTAGTATGCTCTTATTACCTATACAATAGTAAAAAGATATATTTATCTCACGGTGTAGGGAGTTAGTTATATATATGGATCATATGTTGTGATTGTGTTCTATAGCTATACATAATTTCAATCCAATATTTGAGTTAGTGATTCCTAATTTTTTTTTCTACTCATTAACTGGGGCATCTATATATAGGTCCACACTTCACATACTCAAACTATCTAGAACATGATATTTATTTTTGATATGTTAGTGTTATTAATAATTAATACTGTCTAATGCACCATTTTGATATAATTTAGTGTACTCATATATCAACCTCCTTTTCACTACCTGCATTTTTTTTTTGTGTTTTTTTTCTTACTCATTTTCATATCTTGTAGCCTGATCCAAATATAGAAATGGTTGAATGGCAGTCTAGAAATTAATTTCTTTACACTTCAATAATATGCTTCACACCACAAACTACACAGTCGACACACTTCTCCTTCTACTCCAACCTGTTTGAATAGCACTAAGTATGTACCATTCTGAAATAAAGTTGATGCCATGTATTGCCTAATGACATGTCGAACTAAATTAATTTAAAGAAAGTGTAGTAAGTCACATGGTAACACTCAAGCCAACTGCATTTAAAATCACATTGTACTCTTCAATGCATGAGTGGACCATGTCGGGGGAGATATGTTTGAATGTGTTCCAGGTGGAGACGCCATTTTTATGAAGGTATAGCTTCCAAGTTTTATTGATTTTGAAACATGCACAACAAAAGAGCCTTTTGGATTATATAACATGGGCCCTTTGGGTGATAGTTTTATAATGTTAAGTTGAACTACTTTGTTGTGGAAAGAACTAAATTTTTTTTTACCTTTCTGATTCCCCACAACAATTCGTATTAACTAAAAAGACCATTTCTAAGTATCACAATAGGATTCACAACACAGATAAGACAGTTTGCTTTCGTAGTCTATATTTTATTCATTTATATGTTGGAGTTATTTTCAATATATTGTAGGGACACAATTAATATATTGTGCCGATTGGGTATTTTCAATATATTGTAGAGACACAACTAATAGGTTGTGCCTATGGGCTCCATATGAAAAGACATTAATGAAAAGTTATGTCTAGGACCATAACCAAGGGTTACGTCTAATCCTCAAGAGTTTTCTCTAACTCTATAAATATGGATCATTTGGATGCTTTTAGTGTACAATGAAATCACCAAATACTTGGAATATTTCCAATCACATTTCTTATCCTTGTATCATGTTGTTGGTTCACTAAAGTGCATAGTGAAACAACATGATCTCCATTTTATCTCATAGGGAATTCGCCTAGACAATTGCACTGTATAGTAGGCGAATTTAGCCTAAAGGAAAGCAAGTTTACTTGTGATTTGGAGACAAAACTTTCTTTTGTCCTAATCATAAATTCTTCCTCTTGTTCTTCGATCTAGTGCAGCCATTATTATCCACTATTCTTGAAGTAGAATTCCAACAATCTTTAGGCTAAATTTTCCTGTTAAACAATGGCTAGTATTTGAAGAATCAAGCAAGGTCATTTTCGTTGGTAAAAATGTTGCAGATCATTGGATTTAATGGAAAGGGCAATGATAGGATACAATGGACCTCGTCATCAAAGTAAGAACTATATTTTACTTGTGAATTGTGACATTCCAAGTTCAAGGTATGTATATATTTAATAAATACATGAACGTAGTGATGAGATTTATGCCTGAGTGGAACATGGTTGTAGAATTCATGAACTTTTGCATGTAAAAGAAATTTACCATGCATTATTTGTTGATTGTCCAAATGTGTGGTTTCTATCAAAATAAAATACTTAATTAATGTGATGATTGATTAAGAAAATGTATATCATAAAAGGTTTGATAGAGAATTTGGGCATGTTATTATCATGCTTTGAAATGGAAATGTTTGATTAATTAAAATGTTTGGTTGTTTGGCCTCGTCGACTTAGTTGTCGCCTGGATAAAGTCGACAGAAAAGTCAACAACCGAAACCTAAGAAAATCAAAATAAAATAAAATAAATTCTTGTGTACAGAATTTTTGTGAGTGCATAACATATTAATTATTTGATTTTGGGCTAATGAAATAAAGAACTTTGATCCCAATAAAGTGCTAATTTCGTGTATTTGTGTTTGTTACATGAAATATTTAATTGCATAAATGAATTTGCAATTTATATGATAATTTCATGTGATACATAGTATGACAATAGTGATATAGTTATAAATTTATATCATATGTGTTAAAATATGATTTGAAATTCATGTCTTACTATATGTTTGAGTTGTTTATGTCAATACTTTAAAGTTTCCATGAGATCTCAAAGAAAAAAAGAGATTATATGTTTGGAAATTTGGAACTCTTTATATATAATAAAAGAGTTTGAAGAGAATGAAAAATTCTCTATTAAAGTTAAAAAGGAGAATGATCCTTGACCTAAGTCCACATTGTGGAAAATGGACAAAGCATCAAGTCCATGTTCGAAATCATATCAGCAAAAAGAACAGTGAATCAGGTATTAGGAAAGCTACCATATTGTAACAAAGAATGACGCTAAGAGCTCAAGTGTAAAATGCTTGTAGCAAGATAAATGGAGCTAATTTTTCCAGGAATATGAAGAAAGAAATCGTGACATGGTGATTTCAAAACTTCAGATTAGGGAAGATGATTGTTGGGTTAATTGCGAAGTTTGAAAGAACAGATTGGTTCTTCAATTTCCTAAATATGATCATATTAATTAACAGTTTGCATGTATTATTATTTAAATTGTGATCACAAGATGAGTTAATGAACTCAGGTTAAGAATTAAAATTCTTAACAAGATTTGAGTCAATAGACTCGTGTGAAGAGATAATCCTTAAAATTTGAGTTAACAAACTCATAAGTAAGGACTAAATATTGAAAGACATCTGGTCTAAAGACTCAATGACTTAAAGGGATATGTGTAAAGTTTAGAAATGATTACTTGCATTGGAACCTCAATTCAACGCTAGTAAATACTCTAGTCTTGAATTCAATGAACGATGGTACAATGTACAAGTAATTGAGTACTACAATATTTATCCTAAAGTAGTTAGTGCTGCGTATTTCCTGCTGGGTATCAGGTTGAGAATTGACTCTTAACAAACTCTTGTAAATGCCAAAATGGCGGGAGCATTAAGAAATTTGCCTATATGAATGTCGGACTGGCATCCACAAAGCTTGGAACTTGGCTTTTTAACATTTATGAAGAGATATGGGTACAAGACCTTACATACCATACGCACTGGTAAGGTGCAGGCAAGTTGAGGAGAAAGAAACTTATGTGTGTTGACAATAGTGGCTTCTAACATGTACGCACGGTTCAAAGCTAGTTTACCGGGTTGTACTACAAGTTATGAAACTGACACTAAGGTAGTGGTTCAAGTCTAATGACACCATTATTTTATGCATACGTCTTGCTGGAATTATTCTGGATCCATTTAAAAATCATTTTCAATATATTGAAAATGGCGGGGGATTGTTAAAGTTATTTTCAATATATTGTAGGGAAACAATTAATATGTTGTGTCTATTGGGTATTTTCAATATATTATAGAGACACAACTAATAGGTTGTGCCTATGGACTCCATATGAAATGACATTAACGAAAAGTTATGTCTAGGATCATAACCAAGGGTTACGTCTAATTCTCAAGAGTTTTCTCTAACTCTATAAATATGGATCATTTGGATGCTTTTAGTGTATAATGAAATCTCCAAATATTTGAAATATTTCCAATGACATTTCTTATCCTTGTATCAGGTTGTTGGTTCGCTAAAGTGCATAGTGAAACAACATGATCTGTATTTTATCTCATAGGGAATTCGTCTAGACAATTGCACTGTATAATAGGCGAATTTAGCCTAAAGGAAAACAAGTTTACTTGTGACTTGGAGACAAAAAAATTTTTTGTCCTAATCATAAATTTTTCCTCTTGTTCTTTGATCTAGTGCAACCATTGTTGTCCACTATTCTTGAACTAGATTTCCAAGATTATATGATGGCTATATCACACTTTCGTCGTGGGTGTTTCTTTTGAAAACAATCATAATATCGTTTTTACCAAATTTGGTAATAGCATATGTTACTTGAAGTTTATCCACACACCTTAGAGATGAAATGTAATGTAAATGATGAACCTACAAAGAGTAAACAGGCCTGAAGTGTTGTGCTCTCTTCCAGTAAATCTCCCAATTTAGTTGTTGCTACATCTCAATGCGCCGTACTAAAACCTGATTGGAAATTTCTGACAGATGATACTTCACGACTGGAGTGATGATTATTGCTTGAAACTTCTAAAGAACTGCTTCAATGCTCTTCCAGAGGGCGGGAAAGTAATCGTTGTCGATCTGATTCTACCTGAGAAACCCGATTCCAGCCCTTCTTCAAAAGGTATTCTCAGCACTGACGTGCTGATGATGACTGTGAATCCGGGAGGGAAAGAATGGTCTGAGAATGAAGTTCGGGCATTGGCGGTTACGCTGGATTCAGAGACGCAAGGTTGGTCACCCGTGTTGGCATTTTAGGCGTCACTGAGATCTACAAGTGAATGAGAGTGTGCTTCAGGCATGTTTTCCCTGTTTTAGAAAATTTCTTTTTTCTACCCAAAAAGAAATATATTCCTTTTTCTACCCAAAATTTCTTTTTTTTTTCCTACCCAAAAAAAAAATTCTTTCTTATCGACTACAATTATGTTGTCCAAATGTTATCCAAGTACAAATTTTCTTGGAATAACTTTAGTGCTGGTTTGATGATTGAACATTTTACTTCTTTTTCTTGAATAATTTCGTTATCTTCCCTGAAATTTGTGCTTTTCCTGAAATACATTATACAGGGCTTTCCATTAAGCAAGCTCCATTAATGGAATCAGCAAAATTCTGGAATTTGTGCTTTCCCTGAAATATAATATCAAGGTCTAAACCATTAATGGAATCAGCAAAGTTCTACTGTATCTTGGGTGAAAGTATTTCCGCCCTGGCGGTCTTTGCGCTTCTACTCTGATGGTTTATAAATGATCAATATTCCCTAGAAGTGTTCAATTCACAGCAAATATGTTATGGAAATGAAGTTATCCTAGTGCCACAGCAAATTTATCCTTTCTTCTATTTGACAAATATTAATGAAATGGAATAAATTAATTCCTATTCTATCTATTCTAGTTGAAACTATTAATAGCCCATTTCATTATTTAATAATTTAATTACCGGAAACGTATATATGCATGTTTTGGATTTTAGGTTTACTTGGAAGAAAAGAAAAGAAAATCGTTTGAATGACTAGACTTGCTTGGTTGGGAATGACCATCACCAGATATTGAAAAATGGCAAATTTGTATGTCTATTGCACTTTTTTTTTAGGATAAAATTACCAACTTAAATTAAATTTTCTTTTTCTTTTTTCATATGAGAATTTTCTCCGTCAACAGTAAAAACTAATATTTTCGTTAGGAATCTCTTTTATTGAACTAAAACCTTATGATCGCCTTAAACCGTTGATCATTGGGACGTAATTCTCACCATGATAATTTGTTGTTATTAGGATGTAATTTGAACAATACATACAGAGGGCCCCTAAGGCTACTGATTTTGTTTCTCGTTTTCATTTTCAATTTGAAAACTGATTAAATTAATGATGAGTGCAACAGGAGCGCAAAATTCCAATTGTTTAGAGAATAATGATAAGATCAAGAAAACTTTAGAGAAGCAAGTTTCAATGCTTCCCAAGACAACATAGTTGTCAAACCTTAAATTGCAATACATAGTAGTTGCTCCTGAAATGGAGCTAGCAAGTCCAAGAGTCTTGCATCTGTTACATGTAGTGAATCAATAGTTCTATTAGTCAACATCATGTATCTAAAGAGTTAAAGAGTAAAATAAAAGGCAAGTCATTATAAGATATACCATGAATTTCTATATAGTAAAGTGTTTGTAAATGTAAATTAAGACATGAGCCGATGATTGTACTTGAATAGCTGAAGAAGTGTCTTTTTCCTACAAAACATTATGAATAGCAATCAAATGTCTTTATACTAATCTCCACAATTTCATATTTTATAGACACTTCCATTTTAACACAACAAAGCCATAACTGTGGAGAAGCCGGTAAAGAGCACCCACCCACCCCACAACAAGCAACCCCGGCTCAAGGAACTGGGAAAATCGATGAGCTAAAATTTTATAATGCATAGATAAAAGGATAAATTTTTTATTTAATTGAGGTAAAATTGTAATTTTTTAAAATTTCAAAACAAAAAATAAACCTCCTTTTTGGTAAAAAGTAACTGGTCTCCTAGCTCCGCCATTGTTTTTCATCCTCTGTTGATCTTAGCTGCCTTCTTAATTACCTAGTCCTTGGCCCTTCTTTGTGCGTTTCGCATAAAAGCCGTTAGGTTGACCACACTTGTAGAGAAAGTTGTAATAATGATTGAATCGTGAAATTTTTTTTTTTTTATTTAACTTTTTTAAAAAAACTTACTATAAGAGACGACCTAGGCGGGTTTAAAATCCCGTTATTAATAAAGATTTTTTTCTTTTTTTTTTTTTTTTTTGCATCTTAATCCAATCTTTCAACTCTCACAATATCTCCAATTTGAATCATGTCTTCATTTTACTCCATTCCTATATGTAAAGTTGACCCAGAAAAATTTGTGAACCCCACCGTACATTTCGTACACTTACCACTTTAAAGGTTTTCTTTTACATCCTAGTCTCAGCCCCTACAAGAATCTAATTACAAATTTTCATGTTCCCTCACTTTTTTTCCTTTTCTTTTTCCTTTCTTTACAGAAATAATAAATTCACTAAAAGATTTGTTTAAAAGCTGAAAAAGCATTGTTCGTATTGGAGTTTGCATGCATGTAAAGGAGAAAGAAAGAAAAGCAACGAAAGTGTAAAAAAAAAAAAAAGTTTAAATTACTTTTTTTTTTCTTTACAATCCGCAGCAAGAACATGGCACGTGCATAATATTCAGGTAATATCTTAACAACCCTAAAATAACATATTTTATTTTTTTGTATGCAATTTGGAGCTTCCACTAGTTTTATTTCAGGATGGGACTTTGAGCACTTAGCTAGCTTTTTAGTAGTACTGCTGCCAAAGTATATGAAGAAGATAAGATTGAACTCGATGGATGTTGGAAGAACTTCTGTTTTTTTCACTTTACTAATATACTGCTGGCTAGCTAGCTAAAGTTGTAACATTTTATCCTGTTTTTTTTAGCTTATCATTAATTTCATCGATCTAGTTGATATGTCTCTTTTCATTAGAAAATAATAAGTATAATGACAATGAAAATAAATAGTGACGGAGTTGACCCCTATTTTGTAGCCATTTTCTCATAGAAATTATATATTTTCCTTTCAAAATTACATTTCTACCCTTAATTAGCAAAGACACATCAATCACTATTAGTTTTCACTATACTTTTTCACTTACTGTATTATTGCTGTTTTCATTTTTTATTATGTTCAAGTTGCTGAAAAAATGTTCAAATGCAGAATTAGGGTTATGTCTTCACTATATTTTACTACTCCTTTCAATACGGCCATTTTTATCTAAGTCATTGTACTATTTTTGAAATTCATATTAAAAAGTCATAAATCTCAAAACAAATAATTCAATTTGAAATTAAATAATTCATATTAAATTTTGAAATTATTTTTTTTTAATGTCATAAATCTCAAAATTCAATTTGATTTTTTTTTTGGACCGAATGAGTATCATTTTAATTCAACCAAGCGAATTATATTAATCAAGACAAAAAGTAAGGAGTTTGCTAACCTCTAGCTAACGTAGTATTTTCATTGTTGGAACTTACCTCTAGCTAACATAAAATCTATCTTTTTTCCAGCACATTTAAATGTCCTCAATACGTTTGAATAAAAAATTTAGATACCAGTGTAAATATGTAAACTATAACGCGCAACTTGCAAGTGTAAAATTTGTACCGCGTACAAACTAACAGCGAAGTCAGGATTTTCTGTACGTTACAAGGCCAAATCGACAAATGTTCATTTCATAAGCAGCAAAATGATACAAAACCAAAAAAATAATTTAGTTCACGCTAAGATTTATAATCTTTCCTTACTGTCAAATGAAAAAAGATTTATAATCTTTTCTTAATCATAAAAAAAATATCTGGAGACCTATAGCTCCGCCATCAAGACTTTAAAAAAATTCATGTAAGTTGCATCGTTTCATTTTACCAAGTTGGAATCTATATATGTTTTGATTCAGAAACTTCGTTTTCGGATAAGATCTTGACGCCACTGGGGAAATCTCGAGTGCAGTATAAATTTTATTTTGCTGATGGAATGAGATAAGTTTGAGAAAGATTTTACAAAAAGCATCAGCAGATAATACATAGTACTTGAATTTATTAAAATACTTTTAAAAAAATGAAAAAAGGAAAAACAAAAAGAAATCATCTGATAGTGCAGAGTGAAACACTTTATGTATTCATGTTTGCGGCTGGCTGATTAGTAATGGCTCAGTATAACCAACGATAGCAGGAACCGGCATATGGACATTGGTTAATCAAAAGATTACTTAATGCAATGTTACAACATCAGATCAATTATTGTTTAGGAGATAGACAGTCTTTTTGTTCCAAGATTATTGTCTTATTTAACTTTAAAATAATTATTTTTAAATAAAAAAGCAATATGATATTAGGGGTTGAAAGAGGAGCAACCAAAAAATAATAATAATAAAGATAAGATTTTTAATATTCTTTTCATTTCTTAATAAGAGTCTTGTTTGTCGACAATTTTTTATCCAAAACAAAGAAAACTAATTAGAAAATATTGTTTTAATTAGTGGACAGTCAAATTACAAATAAAGCTCATCTTTAGTAATTCCATAAGCAGTTCCATAGGTGATCTGATTTGCCTCGTGAAGTTTATGTTTTACTGAATCCCTCTTAAATTGTAGATTTACACCAATATACGGGTTAGATTACATTGGATCTAGTTTGTATTGATTTTATAAATAAATATATATATATATATATATATAATGCTTTAGAGGTTTGCCATTTTTTGTATCTAGTAATACGTATGGTTTTTTTCTCTTTCTTTTTTCCTGTTTCTCTTTTTATTATGTGGACTAGTTTTCTTGAGAAAATTTTCATACTTGTATTATGCAACATGGGTTAAATTTATTTATTCATACATTTTGTTTGTACTGAACATCAAGAGCTGATTGTTCAATCCTTTATTTTATGATGGACCAACTTGGATTTGGTTTGACTTGATCAGTTCCGCACTACTCCCCAATACCTCCTCGTCAACTAACTTATATGGTTGGGTATATTTAAAATGTGCCTTCTCTATTGGGAGTTTTTTTTTTTTTTTTTTTTGATAAGGTTTTATTGGGGATTGAAGTGGCTTTTTGCATGGTGTTGGGATCAATCTTTTTAGTCAATTATCACAATTAAAAGTGTTTTAAGTAAATTTATAGTTGAATTGGTTATTCTGAGAATATTCTTGTGAGAATAGTCTAAAAATTTTCTTAAAATTTTCGAAGAAAAGGAAAATAAACAAAGAAAGAAAGAAAGATATATCTTATGGCCTCATGAGTCACCCTTATTTGGAGCATGCATTGCTTTAGATGGTCTGATTTAATTAGTAGAGTAAATTACAAAATACAAACCCTCTCAACTCTATGTTAGATCGACTGAAAAATCCCTCAATTGTCATCAATTAATTAATAATTGCTCGTAATTTTTATGATCATCCGATTAGCCCCCATTGCAAGCAATTAAAGCATAAAGTCACCCTCTCACAACGAAACGAAGACAACATTTTAAAGCTCATTTCAACTAAGCAAATGGCATTTCTTTATCATATTCTAGTTATACCATTTATCATAATTTGTTAATACAACTTACATAATATGTATATTTATATATATATATATATTAAAATTATAAGTGCTTAAAAAATTATTAAAATTATGAGTCTCTATACTTATGACCCTAACCACTTGAGCAAATTGACGGCTGAAGCTACTCTTCTAAAAAGAAAAAAAAAATCACATTTTATTGATTAATTGAGGAGGAAGCTTCTTGATCCCTTCGTGGCAACCTGGGGCCCAAATTCCATTTCAAAGTGTAGAGATAGGGTTCATAAAAAAGATAGGTCCCCCATTGGGCAATGGTATAATGTGCTACCAGGAGTGGAAATGGGCCCAATTTGATTGGGAAGTCCATCAATTACACAAAAAAGGGACTCCAAATACACAAAATTTTATCATTAAATTCTATAACTCGTGTTAAAATATTGTAGGCTCTTGTCTACTTCATGTGTCCTCAGAAATTTCACACTATAATCTATACCTTGTAATTTCTTGTACAAATTATTCTCACATCTAGGAAATTGCATACAACTCCTTAAGTATCAAAGATTGTACGAAAACAAAACTTTAAGAATGATAGATTTCTTTGGAGTAAAATCATTAATTATATTTCAATGTGAGAAACTTGGTTTAGTATTCCACATTATGGGCAACTTCTCATCTTTGCGTACAATATAGTTAACAGTAATAATTTTTTTAGGTTTGAATCCACTAATTATTTATTTGATCTTTCTATTCACACTACCATCATCTCACTATTTGTAATGATAAATTTCTCCCTATTTTTCTCTTAAAAATTCTTATTTCTCTCCACATACGATAGCAGTTACAATTTACAATTATTGTGTTATAAGTATTTTCAAATAAAATTACTCATAAGTACTTCTCATATAAAATTATACCAGGCATTATCCACATAAGTGTAATGAGGTCCGTTGAAATGTTACTTATTTGGAGAGTTAAACAAAAAAGTGATTGATTACAAACATTAGAAATGTGGAAGGGATTGTGAACAATACATTGATCTTCAACGGGGATATTTCAAAAAATTGGAAAATTTGAGAGTTATTTGCAATTAAGTCTAATCTTTAATAGCAACTAGCTAGCAAAGACTAAAAAAATTAATAAACATAATTTAACCCGTTTCTTCTTTTTCTCCCTATAAATAGGTAGGTCACACGACCAAGTTCAAAGGAAATTCTCACCAAACTAACTCAACTAGCACACAATATTCACAAAATGGCTGCTATTATAACTTCAACTTCAACCTCTTCTTCTTCTTCTTCTGCCTTGCTAATTCAAGAAATTTTCATACATTTCCATTCAAGAAAATTACTTCTTCACAGCCCTTTACTTCAATCACCAGTAGGATCATCATCATCACCATCATCAAGTAGTATTTCCCCAAGTTCAAGCCCATCAGAACCAGTAGACAACAGCTTTGATGCGAATGTTGTAATGGTCCTTTCAGTCCTTTTATGTGCCTTAATTTGCTCACTTGGCTTAAACTCAATTATCAGGTGTGCATTACGATGTTCCACCCTCGTTTCCACCGATCAATCAAACCAACATCCCTCGGCTCGCCTAGCGAATACCGGGATCAAGAAGAAAGCCTTGAAAAAATTCACTACTATAGGTTACAACACAAGTGATCATCAGCAAAAGATAGACACCGAGTGCGCAATATGCCTCTCGGAATTCACTCAAGGCGAAAGGGTTCGAATTCTACCAAAATGCGGACATGGATTCCATGTCCGGTGCATCGATAAGTGGCTAAACTCGCACTCGTCTTGCCCGACTTGCCGGCACTGCCTGATCGAAACATGTCAAAAGATAGCCGGTTGTAGCAGCCAGGACAACAGTTTCCAGCACCAACCTAGCACATCATCAATAATGCAAAGACCTCAGCAAGAAACAATTGTAAGAGTAGCTGTTGTCCCTTTAGAGCGCGAAGGTTGTGTACGTAATTTTGAAGCTTAAAAATTCAACATTTGCTCATTAGTAATTTTCAGTAGGATTTGGAATTCAAGAATTGTATAATTCTGCACAGTGTGTTTCTTTTCTTCTAAAATATTTATGCTTTTTTTCTGATTGTTTCGTGTATAATTCAAGAATTTTTATTTATTTATTCTTTTTTTTTTTTGGTCCTTGATATCGTAGTCTTTGGTTTTTACTTGAGTGCATTTTGCTAGTCGACCATATTTGTCACGTCAATGTTTTCAAAATGAAACATTCACATTTTCTTCTCTTTAAATAAGGATATTAATAAATCACTAATAATGTGTCATTGTGCCAAATCTATCTATCTTTCTATCTATCTATCTATATACTATACTAAGGCAAAAACCAGAGAGAGAAAACTAAAGACATGGAACACATGCCACATAGAATTTAATCCTATGTAGCATTTTCTTAATTTCTTAGACTTAAAAATGCACAAAATAAAATAATAAAATAAAAAAAAGCAACTAAAATAATTTTAAAAAAACAAAATAATAAAAACCAAACCCTTATTTTCATGAACCAATTCCTAACATAGAGATTGATTGGAGAGAGTACCAAATCCTAACAAATTTTAGAGAGATCTGCATAAAGCTTATCACCAGTGAATTTATAATGTCATTTAAAAAAAAACAAATTCCTGTAAATCCAGAAGTAATCATGTTTAAAACTGAAGTCATTACATATTTTATAAAAATACAAAATTTATGTAAAAATGTCTAAATGTGTATGCCTTCCCCGTCCATCGGACGGGTCTAACACCTAGTATATAAGTTTATGCAAATATAATGCATTCAAAATTGAGGATTTGGAGGGTTTGATTGGACAGAAAGCCAAAAAACAAATAACAAAATCTTTGTAATTTAAACTGGGTGTTGAGATTGTTGTGTCTAAACGTGCAAGTCTGAGTCGACAATCACCATAGGAATAATGCCGTCTATTTTTTAAAAAAATTAAAATATTTCTAGTGGTATCCCACCTTTTTTTCCCTCTGCTTTTTGTGAAGTTTAGTTTATAGTGCTATAGAGTTGATGTGGCTCTACCCATTAGAGTCATATCTCATATGTAGCCAATCGGTCACCAATTTTGATAAAAATTATATGTAGTATCTACCTATTTCTTTCTCTCTCTGGTCTATTTCCTGTTTTATATCACCCAACAAAACAAACTCAGGGATCTATTTTTGTTAATTAAAAAGAAACTCAGGGATCTGTTAACTCAATAATCATTAAAAAAAAATCCGTCTATCTATTTCCAGCTGCTTTTCTAAATGGAAAGTACTTAAAGTACGTCAATTAAGAACATACACAGTAAACCTTTGCTAAATTTATAATTTTGAGTCATTGATAACTTTCTCTAGTCTCAACTTGAGACCAATACAAATAGTACAATAAAATCGATAAAATAATAAAATAATAACATTTCAGAAAATTCTCTATATATCTATTGGCCATGGACATACTATAAATTAACAACTACCCCAAATTGAAAAAATAATAATAACTATAAATATTTAATAAAATATGAAATAAAGATGCTTTTTTTTCCAGTCACTGAAGATGATATAAACTATGTATGGATTTTAGAGTTGAGAAGATTTTCACTATGTTGATTTACACCGTAAAAATAACTAAAAATTGTGTAAGTTAGTAAAGGTTTTTTTCCCCTAAGGAAACTTAAGAAATTTATTAATTTATTGATTATCTAATAATTTTATAAATTAATAAATTTTGTTGATCGTAACACAATCAACTTACAGAAATTTTACTATATTTTACTTAAATAAAAATATATATTTTACTTTTACTTGATGCATTAGTTATATCATATTTGCTCCGCACAAGCTTGTACTTATATTAATCAAGTCACGATGTGATATATATATATATATATATTAAGAAAATTTAGGGTGGTACTTGTCAGGATGGTGCCAAGGGAGGTGGCGATGCCATACGCAAAAAGGAAGAGACTCTCGATACTGTTAATATGAAAAAAAAAGTACAAAACACAGTTCTTAAGACTTACTCAAAACAAAAAGAAAGCGTCTTATAAAAGTTTTTCTAAAAACTCTATGACAGGTTCTTATGCACATTACGACTGGGAATCTGTCGTACAAATGCCGGAATCCCTAACAGTTCTTTAAATGAAAACTACAATTATTTATTTAAGCTAAGAGTCTATCTTCCAAACATTTATCTAACCCCATGACGGCTCTATTTCCTATTCTATCTCCTATCTTATTTGGTGTATTTGATGCAAAGGTAACGGAAAGATCGTTGATCCAGCTTGAAAATACCACGCAAAATATTAATGAAACTATGATAACTTATAGTATGACCTTCAGATGCTTGTTTTGATGGTCCATCCTCCGAACTATGAACTTCACTAAATATATGTTGGATTTGAAAGTCAGTTCTCTGCAACATCATTTTGATTTCATGCAATGTTGAATGGGAAATACTTTACCGCAATGAATACTAGGACCTTATTGAATCCTTGTTCTTCACACCACTTAAGCCCTTGATGAATGCCTTCATTTTCTGCTGCAAACCTATAATTTTCACCCATATACTTACATGAAGCACTAAGGAAACTTCCATGCTCACCACAAACAACATAACTCCATCCATCATTTCCAGGAGCTCCTAGCGTGGATCCATCCGAGCTTAAAATAACATCACCCAATGTCGGGTGCTGATAGTGGTTAATTTGTTACACAAAAGCATTACCATTTACTCTGAATTTAGTGAAAAATTAGGGGCAATTCTTAGAATAAGTCCATGTTTCTTAACCAGTTTTATGTTTTCTGGATAGGAAGGGACCTGAGTGAAGAAAAGCTGAAAAAGGAGGGTTGTTGGGACAAAAATGGGCTGATGGATTCAAATTCTGCTGAGCTGGTCAAGGACATCTTTAAGACACAATTAATGAGTGTGTCTCACCTTAAGAACCCAAGGGCATGCTTGTCTCCTTGGCCGAGAAACCAACCTCCCAAGCTGATCAATGCCACAGTTGATACCACTTCTAGAAGGAGAGTAAAAGACCAGTCAATTCCAAGTTCAAGACACAAGGCATTGGGTGAATAAAGAATACATAAGCATGGGGAGGTTCTCTTGAAAGAGGAACCGGCATCAAGCAATATAAAAGGGGAGATGCATTCACAGCATTACACATCTCTGGTTGCACCTTTAGTTGCCAAAAACATACAGAAGAAACTCCAGATAGAAGGTAAGAAGGAAGGGAGAACAACAACAACTCAGCAGGAAGCAAAGTTGAAGAATAGCCATCTCATTCACTACTTCATTCCCCTGAGTGAACCCTGTCACTCCCAGGAGTGGCCCTGAACTGCATAAGCTGTCTTCTTCTCTTAACTATTAGTTTGTACTTCATTTCATTGATGCATACTTCTATGATGTCTATTATAGTAGTAGTAGCATCAACCAGCATGAGTAGCTAAATAGCTTCCAGGGGTTAATCTTCTCAACCTATGTTGTAGTCGTTGTAAAGCACTGGTTCTGTTCTATATTTTGAAGTTGAAAGTGTTTCTACATTCAGTTACTTGATCTCTAATTGAATGCATGCTAGAACAAGGGGAAATCTGGAAAGATAAACTTGGTTTGGACTGTTTCAACTTCAACTTGTGACATAGAGGTAACAATCTATGGTTTTAACTAAGATAGGAATATACTTAGTTGACATGAGCATTCATATAAGCCATGGCTCTTAATGACTTTATGACTGGATTCAATCATTAGAAAATAGATTTTTAAAGTTACAAAGATGACTCTAGGAAAAATGGGAACTGACTTAGAGTTAAATCTGAGCTGAATGAACAAGAACTTGACCATTAAAGTGCAAATTACAACTGCTACAACAGGAAGAGGAGATGAACATCCCTGTCTGTACTCCCCTGAGTGAACGTTTTCATTCCCCTGAGTGACACTTGTCTGAACTGATAGTTTGTCAACAACAATTTAAGTGATTAGCTGTCCCTGTGGGAACAACCTAGCTTCCATTATCTACAAATCCATAATCCAGCTAGTATTTATTTTTGGTGAACTCGGCACTCACCAGAAAGTGGCGCCGTTGCCGGAGACGGCGTAAAACCTCCATTTTTTGTTGTTGTTATTCCCTCAGTAGTAATTAATCTTCCTCTGGTAATCCCCTTGAGCTTCTAATTTCTCTTCTTTGGTGTATGATTAGAAGGCACCAACGAAGTGAACCAATTTTTGATCCAGAAATCGAAGCTACCATACGCAGAGCTAGAGCAGCAAAAAGAAGGCAAGATCGGTTGCAACAGAACCGCTAAGAAGGTTCATCAGAAATGGCTAACCAAGGTGGTAACCCAAAGAATAATAGGAACCCTAGTGGGGGTCAACAAAATCAACCTGAGAGATTGCTCAGAGATTTCTTTATTCCACAACAAGAAGAAGTCCAACCTCCATTAGTGTTCCCCGATGTGGAGGCAACCAATTTTGAGTTAAAACCACAAATGATCCAATGGACTCAGTCAGCCTACCCGTTCCATGGATTATCTCATAAAGATCCTAATGATCATATCAGAAGTTTCTTGCGTTTATGCAGTACTATTAAGATTCAAGGCTTATCCAATGATGACATTAGATTGAGGTTATTTCATTTCACTTTGCAGGATCACACCCAAGCATGGTTCAACACATTGCCTAACAATTCTATCTCCACTTGGGAAGAGTTAAGACAATGCTTCCTTACAAAATTCTTTCCACCTGCAAAAGTTGCACAACTCAGAACTGCAATAATGAATTTCAAGCAACATGGAACTGAAACACTCTATGAAGCATGGAAAAGATTGAAGGAAATGATCAGGAAATGCTCTCAGCATGGTTTGGAAGAGCATCTCCAACTGAGCATCTTCTACAATGGGTTGCTACCAACCACAAGAGATTCCCTTGATGCTGCAGCTGGTGGTGTGTTTATGATGAAGCCGGTTGATGCAGCAAGGCAGTTGCTTGATAATATGACCACCAATCATTCAAGGTGGCAATCTGATTCAAGAGCAAGTACAAAACAGCCAGGAGTGATGGAACTTGACCCCAGTACACACCTGCAAGCACAGATGGCTGTTATGATGAATGAAATGACAAAACTGAGGAGTATGCTGTCCAAATCCAAGGCTGAAGTGTGTGTGTGTTATGTGATGGATCTCACAACTTGGATGACTATCCCTCCAAAATGGAAGCTGTCCAGTTTGTCAGGCAGGGCAATGCTGGAGGATTCAACAACTTTAACAATTGGAGAAATCAGCAGCATCCCAACTGGAATAATGCACCACAACAAGGAAACTATCATAGGCCCACTCAACCCCTAGGATTTCAAAGACAAGATGGCCAACCTCCCAACTATCAAAGTCAACAGCGTTCTAATCAGCAGTACATACCAAGGGAAGAAGAATGGATTTCTGTACAGAATGCAATTAAAAATTTGGTTGTGTCTTGCAAAAGTCTGGAAAATTAACTAGCTCAGATCGCAAAACAGAATGCTGAACGACCATCTGGAAGTCTACCAAGTGACACAATTGTCAATCCCAAGGGTAATGACCAAGAGCAAGCAAAGGCTATCACTCTCAAGTTGAAAACAACTTAATCAGCCAAGTGAAAAAGTCACTCACGCGAGTGACTCTGCAGGTAATAATGAAACAACTTCTGAGAAAAGATCTGATAATGATCATTTGGTTGAAAAGGAGCAATCCATGGAGAAACCTGGAATGGTAGAAATCAAAATCCCAGCACCAAGTCAAAAGCCACATGATACAATACCGCCATATCCAGTAAGGCAGAAGAAGGCCAGGGTGGATGAAGGACTCAACAGGTTTATTCAAAATTGGGAAAGCATACATATAAATGTTCCACTTGTTGATGCACTTAAACAAATGCCTAAATATTTCAAGTACTTGAAAGATCCGGTGGCTAATAAACCACAAGTGTACGATTCTGCTTTTGTTCCTCTAAATGAAGAATGCAGTGTAGCTATTCTGAGAAAATTGCCTCCTAAACTAAAAGATCCGAGTAGTTTCACTCTTTCGTGCACTGTGGAATTAGAGAATTTTCAAAAGCATTGCTAGATATTGGTGCAAGCATAAATCTCATGCCATTGTCTGTATTTAAATCACTTGATCTGGATAAATTTCTGGTACCTACTAACATGACATTGCAGTTGCCAGATAGGTCACTGACCTATGCAAAGGGAATTTTACATGATGTTCTTGTGAAGGTTGGGAATTTTGTTTACCTAGCAGACTTTGTGGTTTTGGACATGGAAGAAGACAGGGATGTGCCCATCATCTTGGGGAGACCTTTTCTGGAAACAAATGATGCAATCATTAAGGTGAAAAAGGGAGAAATCACACTGCACTTTGATGGGGAGAAAGTTACTTTCAACATCTTCAAAAACATGAGATATCCTGCTGAAGTCCATAACTGCTACATGGTAAGAAGTGTAGAAGTAGAAGAAGCAGTGACAGAAGAAGTGCTACAAGATGAACTCCTTAAGGAACTCTTGTGTCCAGACAGCAGTAAAGAACCGAAAGGGGAGAATGGGTACAGGCTCACTTGCCTGAGTTACTTGAACCACTCCCCCAAGTGGCATCCTAAACACCAACCCTTTGAGCTGTTGGACCTGACTAAGAAAGGAAGATGCCTCAAACCATCAATTGAAGAACCACCTCATCTGGAACTTAATCCTCTGCCTTCATATTTGAAATACGCCTATATTGGAGCAAGTAATACCTTACCTGTGATTATTTCTTCTATGCTTACAGGTACTGAAGAGGATAAGTTGCTAAGGGTGCTGAGGTTGCACAAGAAAGCCATTGGATGGTCAATTGCAGACATTAAGGGCATCAGTCCTTCCATATGTATGCATAAGATTCTACTTGAAGACGATGCCAAGCCAACCATTGAAGGACAAAGAAGGCTCAACCCAATCATGAAGGAAGTGGTAAAAAAGGAGATTATTAAGCTACTAGACGCCAGAATCATCTTCCCAATAGCTGATAGTAAGTGGGTGAGTTCAGTTCAATGCGTGCCCAAGAAGGGAGGAATCACAGTAATCAAGAATGATCTCCAGGAGCTGATCCCTACAAGGCTGAACAATGCGTGGAGAGTATGCATGGACTACAGAAAGCTTAATAAAGCTACCAGAAAATACCACTTCTCACTCCCTTTTGTTGATCAAATGCTAGATAGATTGGCTGGATTCATGTATTACTGTTTCCTTGATGGTTTCTCATATTACAACCAGATTGCCATAGATCCTGATGATCAATAAAAGACGACATTCACCTGCCCCTATGGCACATTTGCCTTTAAGAGAATGCCATTTGGACTGTGGAATGCACCTACAAGATTTCAAAGATGTATGATGGCCATTTTTTCTGATATGGTGGAAGATATAATTGAGATCTTTATGAACGACTTCTCGGTCTTTGGTAAGTCATTTGATGCGTGCCTGGACAATCTTGGACTGATACTAAAGAGATGCATAAAATCAAACCTAGTCCTCAACTGGGAGAAGTGCCATTTTATGGTAACTGAAGGGATTGTCTTGGGGCATAAGATCTCACAGGAAGGAATTGAAGTGGACAAGGCAAAGATTGAAGTCATAGAAAAGCTCAGCCCACCGACCACCGTCAAGGGAGTGAGAAGTTTCCTAGGCCACGCTGGCTTTTACAGGAGGTTCATTAAGGATTTTTCAAAAATTTCTAAACCATTGTGCAACTTGCTTAAAAAAGACACTGCTTTTATTTTTTATGAATCCTGCCTAAATGCATTTACTGAACTGAAAAAGAAACTCATCTCTGCACCTGTGATCATCACGCTTGATTGGTCACAGCCTTTTGAACTAACGTGTGATGTTAGTGATTTTGCAGTTGGTGTTTTACTTGGACAGAGAAGGAATAAGGTGTTGCATGTGGTTTACTATGCTAGTAAAACCCTCAATCCTGCACAAATCAACTACACCACTACAAAGAAGGAAATGCTAGCAATTGTGTTTGCATTCGACAAATTTAGAGGTTATTTGCTAGGAATGAAAGTCATAGTCTACACAGACCATGCTGCCATCAGGTATTTGATCAATAAAAAAGAATCTAAGCCAAGATTGATTCGATGGGTGTTGCTGTTACAAGAATTTGATTCGGAGATACGAGACAGAAAGGGTGCTGAAAATCAGGTAGCAGACCATCTGTTAAGACTTGAAGAGATTCTAGAAGATACAACACCAATTTCAGAAAAATTCCCTGATGAGTCACTTCGGCGAGTGACAAGCACACTCATGGGAGTGACAGGTAACATACCCTGGTTTGCAGATTTTGCTAACTTTGTTGCTACTGGTGTTAATCCTACAGATTTCACCCCTCAACAGCGCAAAAGATTCCTTCATGATGCTCAAGTCCACCTGTGGGATGAACCCTACCTATTCAAAAGATGTGCAGACCAATTGATCAGAAGATGTATTCCAGAACCCGAATTTGCAGA